CGGTCCGGCCACCCGCGTCCGCCTGGGGCCGCTCCGGGACTTCCCGCCTACGAGACGCCTAGGTTTCTGCACCCCCTTCACCTTCTTTTCACCTGGTCCGCCTCGCACCTCGCTTCCCACCTGTCCACCCCTAGCCCCCGTGCTGGTTCCTTGCCCCCGGCACCTTGCAGCTTCCTTTTCCCGTAGGTCCCACCCTACACCGAGACCTCGCCCTGCCCGCTGCCACCTCCTTCCTGTGAGCTGCAGGCACCCGTTTCCTCCCACGGGAGTTTCTTGCACCCCTAGGCCCTGCCACGGCTTGCGGGACGCCCGTGGGGTGCCAGAGGCTTGGGCAGGACTTGGTGTTCTTGCCCCAAACCTGAAAGAGGACCACTTGGGACTGGGGGCTCTGGGCGTGGACAGGGGGCTCAGGCATTTGGGATCTTGTCAATTTTCTCACTAGCCGTGGGAACCAGGTTTCTGTATACAACTTGGAGACTCAGCGAATTGCTCGTTGTCACTTCCTGGCAAGCGCTGATCTGGAAGTCTTGGACTTACCTGTCTGGAGAAGTCTTGAACTAGAGACATGTCAAGTTTAATTCTTCGTAAGTCAGTGGAGTGCTTTCCCTTCCTAAGCTGACTTGGCTTGTGAGTTTCAGAGCTCAAAGGCTATTCAGGGTCATAAAATACATGATTCAGTTTTCATCTCTCTGCACTTGCGCTGACTTAAGCCTCCTGGCTGTATGTGCAGGTATGAAGGAGTGGATTTACAGCTGTCATCTGTGTGCTGGCTTTGCTAATTGAGGAGTGAAAAGGGTAAAATCTAGTTCAGGCTTTTAAGGGTCATCTGGGGAGGCCGCTTGGCTTTGGAAAGCACTCAGGTGCCAGAGCTAGACTGCCATCCTCTGAGTCCCAGCCTTGGCATGTATCTGTGGTGTGACTCTGGGAAAGTTTCCTAACCTGACTGTTGCACTTTCGTTCTCTGTGAAAGGAGGATCATAATAGCTTGTCATGATGTGATACTGTTAAGATGATGAAAGGGCTTAAAACAGTTACTTGGCCTGTTGTGAATCCTCGATATAATTCAGTTATTAGCTTTTCATTTTAATTTATTTAAAAGTATTTATACATACGGAACTGGGTACAGGCCAGGGTGTGGGGAATGAGAGGATTCACCAGAGACAGTGGGGAGCAGAACAGGTGACTCGACAAATACACTGCTGAGAAGAGCAGCGGGTGGGTCAGGAGAGGTCTGCCAATCCCCACGGGGGTCAGCTCCCTGGCCAGGGATCAAACTCATGCTATAGTGGCTGCGATAGCTTCACAGTGCTGAGCTTTAACCCATCATGCCACCAGGGAGGGTTCAGTTATTAGATTTTTAATCACATGAATTGTATTTATTGTAAATATTCCCACAGCTGAAGGGAAGTGGTTTCTTAAAATTGAAAATTGTTTTTAGGGATGGTTAGTGATCATCTAAACCTGTCAAGGAGCCTATCATGCAAGGGACTGAGTCATAGATCTTCTCACTTAGGCTAACATTTGGTTCCTTTGTTGTCAAGTACAGTTGGGTTAAATTCTAGGGTACACGGGGGTGGGGAATGTTCTTCTGTGAGGGCTTCTCTGAGAAGGTTAAGAAGACTGGAGGTTATGACTCAAAACCTTGGACCGAGTGGGTTGGATATGCCCTGAAGCACTGAGAAAAAGTTACTCAGACATATTTTAGGGATAAATAATTCCAGGAACAGAAAATGCAGATCGACCTGACAGTTAAGAGATTTTTTCCAGTGACTCTGTGCTTGACAACTGGCCAGGTGATTCCAGTGTTGTGCAGGTTTGGTGTGTCTGAAGGAGAACAGAGTTTATAGGGCTTTGCTGTGAGGTCTTGCTTTGATCTCGGCTGCATGATATGTGTGCATTTTCATTAGGAGAAGTTTCAGTTGGTCTTCTTTGGGGAAGCTCATTGTCAGGGCCTTTGACACCCTGGTGGTAGCAAAGATCCTTTCTGGATGAAGGATGGTGACTGGTCTCCTTGGATGATGATTTTGGGGAGCACCATTTCTCAGCTTCATCGTGCTCTGGGCGGCTGGAGTGTTGAATCAGGAGCATGGTTGGTTGAGGTGTCTCTGGGAGTAAAAGAGGTGTTCTTTGGATCTCTTTGTGAGGGATGGGTGAGGGGAGAGGAGGGTGGTCAGTGGTGGGCACAAAAAAATTCAGTCTCTGGGGGTACCCAGCCGTTTTATCCCTTTGGGTATTTCACTGCAAGAAAGAAAATTCCTCATTATGTAATGACTCAAAACTTGGACCCAGAATGTTGTGTGTGTGCACTGACAGAACTTGGGGAGGAAGAAGACACTCAAGCAGTAAACATACGTCTTTTATGAAATGTGTCTGGACATGGCATTGACACTGGATACTGATACTGGAGTAAAATCAAGCTCGGTCAGTCAGCTCAGGACAGTGTCAAAGACAGACGGCTCAGTAGCAGGCGTTCCCACAGTTTGAGGGCAGACTGTTGAAATAGGGCCCATAATGTAATCCTGCATGGGGCAGCCGTGCAAAAGGAGCTACAGGCTTAGCCTCACTAAATTGCTTGGCCAGTGTCAGAAACACGGTGGGGAAGAAACGGGACCCCAGGAGCTGGAATGGAGATAGCGGGGCGGTGCTGAGACCTTCGACACCCCGGTCTCCGTACGTCATTGGGCCGGCAGATGGGTCCCCTCCCTGCGCCACCTGCCCACCCCTGTCTGCTCATGCTCGGGATCTGCCTCCTCCCCTCAGATTCAGCGTGGTCTCGGGAGGTATGCTGGTGGCAGCGGGGGGTCCTCTGTCATTGGGGGTGCAGGCTTAGGCCAGGGGGGCAAGCGTGGAAGTGACTCTCCAGGGTGTTAGACCCGAGCAGGGGAGTGGTGGAGCGTGAAGCTGCCCAGGGAGACTTTGCTGGCTTAGGGATATTCTCTGAGGCTTTCACATGCTGAGGACAAGCTGATCCTCATGGGCTCCTAATATGGACAGGACAGCGTCTGACACTGTTGGTTCTCGGATGGGGGTGGTCTTGTCTCCTTAGTGGGTATCTTTCAATGCCTAAATAGATTTTTGGGTGCCACAATGAGGGTTGCTTCTGGCTTCTGTTGAGCTCTCTCCATTGTACTACCCAGCTCCCGCTAAAGTCATCTGGGACAAAACATCAGAGGCCTGAAGGAACTCCCGCCTGCAGTAGGTGAGGCATGGGCTGCAGCTGCTTGGAAGAGTTTGAGGAAGAGGGTCTGGGGAGGTGAAATGTGTAATAAATGCATTACTTGAGGCCAGCGCCTCCCCACCGGCCCGTTCCGCGGAGGCCCCACGCCCTTCACTCTGGTATGTGGAGAGCCGGTGGGTGGCTGCGCGAGGAGCTCCTCGTTGGCTGTCCGCGGCGGCCAGGGTGGACTCTGGGAGAGGTGGCCATGGCTTGCTCCCAGTGACCAGTGAGGATGGTAGGATTCGGAAATACGGCAGTGGCGTGCGCCTCCAGAGACAGCAGATGCGGCACCCACAGTCCGAGCAAGGCTCAACTTGGCCTGGGCTCATGGACACGGAGTTCCCCTGCGCAGTGTAGA